GAGGTGTTGGAGACCCTGAGGAGGGAGAGCTTGTATGCCAAGTTCTCCAAGTGTGAGTTCTGGCTGCGCAAGGTGCAATTTCTTGGGCACCTCGTCAACCAGAACAGGATTCTGGTCGATCCGGCCAAGGTCGAGGCCGTGATGAGATGGGAGGTTCCGAAGTCTCCATCCGAGATTCGGAGTTTCTTGGGATTAGCGGGCTACTATCAGAGATTTATCCAGGATTTCTCCAAGATAACCGTACCCCTGACGCGGCTGACGAAGAAAGTCGTGGTCTTTCGGTGGGGACCCGAGCAGCAGGCTGCATTTGAGATGCTGAGACAAAGATTGTGTGAGGCGCCGATCCTAGCCCTGCCAGAGGGCGTAGAGGATTTTGTGGTTTACTATGATGCGTCCATTTCAGGGTTGGGCGCAGTTCTGATGCAGAGGGAGCATGTCATTGCCTATGCTTCGAGGCAGCTCAAGCCTCACGAGGCGAACTACCCGACGCACGATTTGGAGTTGGGGGCTGTGGTCTTCGCCCTCAAGATTTGGCGACATTACCTCTACGGGGTTCGTTGTACCATCTACACGGACCACAAGAGTCTGAGGTATCTCATGGACCAGCCGAATCTGAACATGAGGCAGCGTCGGTGGTTGGATGTGGTGAAGGATTATGACTGCGAGATCCTTTACCACCAGGGGAAGGCCAACGTGGTGGCCGATGCGCTTAGCTGCAAGGCGGCGCCGATCAGGGACGTATGCATGAGGATGACCGTAGTGACTCCCCTATTGGAGCGAATTTGGGGGGGCTCAACAGGAGGCTATCAAGGAGGAGCATCGGAAGAGCGAGCGCGTAGTGGGTCAGGTGTCCTCCTTTGATTATGATAGCCGGGGTCTACTAACCCTCCACCGTAGGGTGTGGGTGCCGTATCACGGGGGCGTCCGCCAGATTTTGATGGATGAGGTGCACAAGTCTCGATTCTCTATTCATCCCGGGGCGACAAAGATGTATAGGGATCTCCGTCTGGACTATTGGTGGCCCCGCATGAAGCGGGATGTGACATGGCACATTGAGCGGTGCTTGACCTACAGGAAGGTCAAGGCCGAACATCAGAGACCGCATAGTAAGATGCAACCGTTGGACATTCCACTGTGGAAATGGGAATATATCACCATGGATTTTATTACAAAGCTTCCCAGGACCGCGCGTGGAGTGGATTCGATTTGGGTCATCGTGGACCGACTGACCAAGAGTGCTCACTTTATTCCGATTCAGGAGAGCATATCGGCCGAGAAATTGGCCGATATCTATATCAGGGAGATCGTGGCGCGGCACGGGGTGCCGGTATCGGTGATCTCGGACAGGGATGTGCGTTTCACTTCCAGATTTTGGAAGAAGTTTCATGATGAGTTCGACACTCGCTTGCATTTTAGCACCGCCTTTCACCCGCAGACGGATGGTCAGAGTGAGCGGACCATCCAGACTTTGGAGGACATGTTGCGGGCGTGTGTGTTAGATTTCGGTGATAGCTGGGATACCTATCTTCCCTTGGCTGAGTTCTCATACAACAACAACTACCACGCGAGTATTGACCGACCACCATTCAAGATGGTGTACGGGCGGAGGTGCAGAACCCCGATATGCTGGGGTGAAGTTGGCCAGAGAGTCATGGGAAGCACCGAGGTGGTGCTCGAGACGACCGAGAGGATCCAACAGGTTCGGAGCAGACTTCAGACTACTCAGAGTCGGCAGAAAAGTTACGCCGACAAGTGTCGATCCGACTTGGAGTTCCAAGTCGGGGATATGGTTCTCCTGAAAGTGTCGCCTTGGAAAGGCGTCATTCGATTCAAGAAGCGGGGCAAGTTGGGCCCAAGATTCATAGGACCGTTCAGGGTTGTAGCCTGGGTGGGCAAGGTGGCGTATAGGCTGGATCTGCCAGCCGAGCTCAGTCAGATCCACAACACTTTCCATGTTTCTCAGCTGCGGAAGTGCCTAGTGGACGATTCAGCGGTAGTACCGTTGGAGGATATTCAGGTTGATGACAGCTTGAATTACATTGAGCGCCCAGTCGCAATACTCGACAAGAAGTCGAAGGATTTGAGGAACAAGAGGGTAGAACTAGTGAAGGTGTAATGGCAGCACCGCAAGGGTTCGGAATGGACTTGGGAGCTGATGGACGAGATGATGGAGCATTACCCCGAGCTGTTTCAGGATCGAGCAGCAGACTTCGAGGACGAAGTCTAAAATAAGTGGGGGAGATTTGTAGCACCTGGTTCCTGGTATGTAAATCTTATTTGAGTATTTCCCATTTTAGCCTTGGACTCGGCGAGTCATAGGTCCGACTCGCCGAGTAGGGACGAGACCCAGGACACGTTTAAGTTGGCGACTCGGCGAGTCCATATCCTGGACTCGGCGAGTCACCGCTGTTGGATGAAACCCTAAGTTTCAAGGGTTTGCACCCTATTTAAACCTCATATCCACCCCTTGCCAGCCCCCATTCACCCCCGAGCTCCCAACCCTCGTCTTAAGCTTGTTCCTTGAGAGTTTGAGGCTCTTGTGTGTATTCTTAAAGGTTTTGAGGCAAGAAGGGGAAAAAGATCAAGAGGAAGGAGAGCCATCCAAGCATCATTGTGTTTTTCAGCTATTTCATTGAGGTATATCTCATTTTCTCCCTGTTTCTATGCTTAAGATTTCATTTAAGACACTCTTGAGCAATTCCCCAAGCTTGTTTGTGCATAATGTTTTGTAATAAGTGGATTGGCCTTTAGATCTAGGCAAGATTGAGCTCCAGGAGCTCAGATCTGTTAGCTTTATGGATCCATGTGGCTTGTTCATCCTAGATCTACCCTTTTGAGGCATTTTGAACCCTAAAATCCATATTGGTGAATATCTACACGTAAAGTTGGAAACTTTACGTGTGATTCGTGTCTTAGAAGCCCAGATCTATAAATGGCATGGATTGAAATCGAACAAATCAGTGTATTTAATGGATGCATGGCGACGACTCGGTGAGTCGTTCATGTGACTCGGCGAGTCTGCTCGCGAGTCACCGAATTGGTCCCTTTATGCCGTATTGAGTTTGAGCAGTGAGTCATAGGGGGTGACTCGGTGAGTTGGAAGCTGAACTCACCCATGGTAGGACTCGGCGAGTCATGGCCTGGCTCGGCGAGTCCAAGGAAATCTTCATAGATCAAGAACAGACTCGGCGAATTGTTCATACAACTCGGCGAGTCTAAGCATGAGTGTTCATCGGATGAAGATGAACTCGACGAGTTGTTCATACAACTCGGCGAGTAGGACGAAGAACTTCAATGTCAGTTTAGAAGAAGAACTCGTCGAGTCATAGCCTAACTCGACGAGTAGAATCAGGGACTCAGGACAATCATCTGGATAGGGACTCGGCGAGTTGGAGAGCCAACTCGGCGAGTCGGGTCAACTGAAAGTTGACTCTGATTTTGACTTTGGCTAGACCAGGGGTAAAATGGTCATTTTACCCAAAGGACAGTTAGCAGTGTGTGATTGAGTATGTTGTGGGAATTGCAGTCGGAGGAATTCCGGAGCAGCAGCAGTGGTCAGTCAGTTCCCGATCAGTTCAGCAGTAGCAGTGGGTCTAAGGCCACAATGCCAGCCCACCAGTAGGAGATGTGTGATTAGATGATTGTCTTTGTGATATTCATCTAGGGTTGCTAGACTATGTGATATATGTCTTATGTGGTAGTAGTAGGGGGTGAAATAGTCCCCAGTATCCGGTCGAAAGGACCGAAGGGGAGGCCAACACCCAGATATGCTAGGCAGTATCCGGTCGAAAGGACCGAAGGGGAGGTTTAGCACCCAGATATGCTAGGCAGTATCCGGTCGAGAGGACCGAAGGGGTAGGTCGGGCACCCAGATATGCCTGAAAAATTTACGTATGTTATGTGATTATGTGGTATGTGGTACAGTGGGGGAACTCACTAAGCTTTGTGCTTACGTTTTACAGTTTTGTTTTCAGGTACCTCTTCTTCGAAGGGGAAGGAGCTGGCGCGGTAGCGGCACATCATGCACACACACTCTGGTTTCCGCATTTACGAGATTCACTGAGATTTGTACTTTGATATTTTGATGGGTTGTATGGTTTGGCTTTTAAACATGGTTTGCGTTGTGTTGTCGTTTGATCAAACAATGTTTTAATTATTAATGTTTTCTAAAGTAAGGTTTTAAAACGAAATTTTTGGACGTGAAAATTGGGTCGTTACATAATATTTTGAGCAAACTAACGAAAAATGACAGAATACCTGCTAAATCTACGAAACCGGCCAAAAAGGGTTTTTTTTTTCGAAGTTTTAGCCGGTATTCTGTGCTTTTCTATAAACAAAAAATAGTTCTTGATTTTTTCATAAATTAGACTAAAATTGTAGGACTTTTCTGGAGATTTCCAAAAAAATAAACATTTATTTGGGCAAATTTCTTAGGCACATAATTGTAAATGTCTCTTGCCGTGAGACACTGAATAAGTTGAAAGACTAAGAGTTATCCATCCGAAAATGTAAAAGCGAAAACCGGAAGGAATAATAATTAGGGAAACAAACATGCAAAACATACAATAAATTTAGAGTAAATTACACAAATGGTTCCTATGGTTTGGGGTAATTTGCACGTTTGGTCCATAACTTCTTTTTTTAACTTGGAATCACGGAATGTCCTTACAGTTTGTTTTTGTTGTGCGTTTGGTCCCTGTCATACTTAAAAAGACTATTTTATAATTGATTTTTTAAATTTATTTAAATAAGGTGAGGTAAGTAAAGTAAAGTAAGGTAAGATGAAAGTGGGGTTGAATGTGTGTTTATTTAAATAAATTAAAAAATCAAAGCTAAAATAGTGTTTTTAGGTAAGACAATAACTAAACATGCAACAAAAACAAACATTAGGGGTCTTTCAAGTTAAAAAAATAAGTTAGGGACTAAACGTGTAAATTACCCCAAATCATAAGGACCATTCTTGTAATTTACTAATAATTTATGTGGAATAAGTAGTTGGAATGATGGATGGTCGGATGAGGATGAGAGGAGTTGACTCCAACGCCTTCTCGGTAGAAAAGGGGGAAAACCCAATCTTCTATACGAGTCTCAACAGAAGTAGGGTTGTTATTCGGTTTTCGGTTAAAACGGTTCGGTTTTATTTGTTTTTTTTTTACATTTTAAATCTAATCATAACCAAACCGAATAAAGTTTGGTTTAATTGGTTATGGTTTATTCAGTTCGGTTTAACGGTTAAAACGAAAAAAATTCAGCACGTAAAAATAAATATTAAACTAAAAGAAAAAAAAACTTACTAAACTATTACCAAACAAAGAAACTACATTAAATATATAAAATATTATATTTAAGTTGTAAAGATAGGTTAATATAATTTTAATTGTATATGAAAATTAAAGAAACGACTAAAGGTTATTTGGTTAATTTGTTTTTGTTTTTTAATACAAAATATAAAATAGTTACAACTTTATAATGGTTAATAGCTAAAAAAATCATAGAAATTTTAGTAACTAATCAGTGTGTGTGTGTATATATATATATATATATATATATATATATATATATATATATATATATATATATATATATATATATATATATATATTTTATTTGCTTTAACCAAAACAATGAAATTTAAACAAAAAACCAAACCGAATAAAATATCTTTATTCGGTTAACCAAACCAAGTTAACCAAAAACCAAATAACCCGAACCAAATAAACCAAACGTCATTTGGTTCGGTTTGGTTATTCGGTTTTGGTTTTTTATGACACCCCTAAACATAAGGCAAAAGGAAAAAGAGAGGTGTCCGAGTGGGATAGAAGACAAGTAGGAAGTGTGAAAGAAAAAGAAAATAAATAACAGAAAAAGATAAAGAAAATTAGATTCCACTTTATCTAAAAAAAAATATAAATAATCAGATTATTTTTATAGGGTTATATACACTAAAGTCTTAATATTTTCAATTGTTTGACAAGAAAGTCTTAAACTTTATTTCATTTACAGTAAATCCCTAGCTATCGATAATTTTTGACAAGCTTATCATTTTTTCTGGTTAGTTGGTAATTAGGATTTTAATTTATAAAAAAAGTTTATGACTTTCTTATCAAATCATTGAAAAAATTAAGATTTTAGTATATACTCTTGATTTTCCTACAAACAAATAATTTTATCAGTCTGGTGAGACCCAAGCTGAAGAATTTTTAATTGTAATTTCCGTCGCATCACCACTATTTTTCTTAGCATCATCTTTACCTTCTTACAATCACAATCAAGGGAAACAAATGCAAAAAAGAGATCGAAAAGAGGGTGAGAAGACTTGTAAAGTTTGCTTCTTGGTTCGCCGCCAAATATTGAATTGAAAAGTTGAGACAAATTGTACAAACACAACAACACACGTCTAGTCAAAAGGTTGTGAATGTGGATAAAGGGTAAGAATGACAGTTTCAGATATTCCAGTTTCTTAGTTCTTCATTTTTAGGACTGTAAAAAGCCAACACAATCTTGATTCTTTCTTTATTTCTTGACTATCTTCGTTTTTTTAATGTTGATTTGTTGAAATTATATATATATATATATATATATATATATATATATATATATATATATATATATATATATATATATATATATATATATAAAGTAAACCTTAAGGATTTCAATAGGATCTAGCTCACCAGAACATGCACCTGTAACTTTTATGCTTAAAGATTATCATACCATTAATTTCTAACAAAAAAAGATATATATATATATATATATATATATACACACACACACACACATTAAAATCCTAATATTTTCAATAATTTGATAAGAAAGTGCAAAACTTTATTTTCTTTTACAGTAAAATTTTAATTCACGATTTGATAAAAAAATCATAAACTTTATTTTCTTTGAGACTAAAGTCTTAATTACCAGCTAATCAGCAAAAAATTAGTAAATATATTAAAAATTGTCGGTAGTTAGGATTTTCCTATTAAAAAAAACAAATTTACGATTTTTTTATCAAATCGTTGAAAATATATATATATATATATATATATATATATATATATATATATATATATATATATATATATATATATATAATATATATATATATATATATATATATATATCTTCTTTTTATTTTAACACTAACCGCTTCTATTTAGTTTTTGTGCTTAGTCATATCAATTTATTTAACCTGATTGAAATCTTATTTAGTTTTTATGCTTAATCATATCAACTTATTTAATATGATTGAAATCTTATTTAGTTTTTGTGCTTAGTCATATCAACTTATTTAACCTCATTGAAATCTTTGACCGTTTTACCTAAATTTGTTTATTCATTGTCTAGTTTAACATGGCGTGAGTTTTTTTTTTTTTTTTTTTTTTAATTATTTTGCGCGTTTGGTTCCTAACTTATTTTTTTAACTCGGAAGGTCCTTACTATTTGTTTTTGTTACGCGCTTGGTCCCTATCTTACCTGAAAAGACTATTATGCCCTTGATTTTTTTAATTTATTTAAATAATCACTCCCCTAATCCCATCCTTTCACCTTACCTCACCTATCCCATTATTTTTTCCTATTTAAATAATAGTTTTTTTAAATAAGATAGGGACCAAACGCGTAACAAAAATAAACAGTAGGGATCAAACGCGTAACAAAAACAAACCATAAGGACCTTCCGAGTTAAAAAAAAAAATTATGAACCAAACACACAAATTACCCCAAACCATAGGGACCATTCGTGTAATTTACTCTAGAAAAAATGGCTTATTGATATCAATTATTTAATTTCTACTGTGGTGATAGTCTTTTTCTTATTGCGGCCTTTGGGCGGAAAACAACCCCTACAAGCATCCCAAGCGCCGTATTGACGGAGAGGCCCATCGTGTCGACTGCCAAATACGACCCCACCCGACCCAAATCTTCACTTTTAATCTGGAAAGTGCGCGAACGTCTCCGGAGAGTAGTATAACCGACAATATCATCGTCTCTTCCAGCGATCCGTTGACTTAGCGGGAACTTCTGTCTCCTATCCGGTAAGTCATTTTCTCCTCCGTTACTTCTTCCGAACAGATCGGTGTTGTTGTTGATTTGATTTAGATCAGTCCGATTTGTAATAGTTGAGTTAATCTGGTTTGATTTGCAATTAATGTAACTAGATAATGCAATTTGTGCTTTTCCAACCTGAATAATTTGAAGTTTGCTTGCCTGCATTTTGCGCGTTGGTTGTTTCTAACTGTTTCTGCAATTATACGCTTGTGCATTTGAGATCATCTGAGTTGTTGTTCATGTACACGATAGTTTTTGAGTAAGAAACATAAATGAATTCTATACAGATCATACAATAAGAAAGTAATTCACTCTTGAATCGCTGAAATTTCAGATCACAAAGAACCAAATCTACGTCACCTCACTAGAACATCTCTTCAAGTGAAAGAAAAACTTCATGCATTTATCATTTATGACTGTCGGCTAATTATTCTTACCAGTAACATTACTTACTTCTAGATCCGTTTGTTTATAATCGTTTTTGCAGTTGTACATTTGCAACCAGAGATTATTATAGCTTGTTCAATTATGAGAGTTTTTGTTGATCGATGTATGATTACTCATGTGGATTTCTGTTTTTTTTTCCTTTTCTTCTGCATTTAGAATTCCAGTTGCAAAAAGCCAAAAAGATATGGTTCTAGAAGGAGTGATAACCTCCCCTCATCGTAGGTCACAGACACCATTCTCTTCACCTTCAGTCAAAAAACAATACATAAAAGAAGATGAATTGGGTAGCTTCTCAACAGTTATCAGGAGACATCGCTACCTACTAACTGCTCTTGTACTTCTTGCTGTCCTCTGCACTGTGTATCTCTATTTTGCTGTTACTCTAGGAGCCGGGGACATCTGTTATGGCTTAAACCCAACTCAAAAGGCACTGTGTCAAGTCAAACTAGCCAAAGAATCAATTGCCAAAAGAAAACTAAAATTATAATTTCACACTAAACCACCAAACAAAATCTTGTATCTCCTTTTTCTGCTTGTATGATGAATGGTGATAATGTATCTAATTCTATTAGTTTTACATTTGTTACATTGATCTAAGAGAAATGTCGATTTTCATGAATAGAAATGTGCGATTATTTAATATAAAGAGTTGTCTGAAACACTTGGGTACACAATGACACATAATTTACTGAACAATATTTAGTTCTTTAAGCCATGCGGTGTGCAAAGGACACGGATCTTGCTTCCCTTGAGCGATTGCCTTCTCTGAGAGTGAATAGAACCACCCGTTTCTCCATTTGAACTGCAAAATTCATTACCACTTTTTTAGAGAATGAACAAAGCTCAAGTATATCAAGAGTCCTAGTTTTTATTTCCAAACTAGAGACAAAAATGAGACTTATGTGTTATGTTGGCTTTGATACCATGTTAGGTAAATGTGTGGAGTCATAGATTTTCTTTGCAAAAGAGGACAAAACTTACCTCTTTCACTGCTGTAGGGAAGTGTGAAACTGCTCGAGCATAAGCACATAACCTTTCCTCGACCCCTTCTTCAAATACAATGCCTTTCTCTGTGGCTGCTGCAGATGCCAGTTCACTTATGAGGCTACCAACCTGAAAAATTAGGCAAAATTTTAGATTGATGATGGTAGTATAAAATCTCAATTAATTTGTTTATTGTTAGTGTCCCACATCGGTTACACTTACATATGGCTCCTTAAAAAGTTCAACTCTATATAATATATATGGTGGAGTCAAAGTCAACCTTGTGACTTATATTGACGAAGGTAAAGTTACCTCAGAACGGAAGTCCTTTTCTACAGCGCCTACAGTAGCTCCAGGATGACGAGCTCCAACAAGCATGAATGCCGATATCCATATAAGCTTCTCTAGCATTTGCTTCTGAAATGGTTCTTTCTCAAGTACCTGATTTCCATATTTCCTTAGTTTCTTTTACATAATTACAACTTCAACTCAAAATTTACCTTGCAAGAAAGACCTCCAGCGCGTAACCTATCAGCAACAGCAGAACCCCATTTCCCAAATGAAGCAGTCAACCCCTCGGGATTCGTATCGGTTATACCATCAATAGGAGGCTCACCAAGCTTCGCAACAGCAAAATACGCCAACACTTGATCAGCATCACCTAGACCTTTACTTTCGAACCATGGCGACAGCATCCCGTTCTGGAAAAACACCAAATCTGCTAGATTGTTATGATCCAACTAAACCAGAAAAACACAAGAGAAGAAAACGAATAAGTTCTAATTATCGAACCGTTCCAACGGGATTGAGGAGTGGATTGAAGAACAGCGTCTAGATCATCGTTCCTAGTGCACACCAGTATCGGGCCTGGGAAATCGATCGGGACAGGCTCGCCTCTCTTCACGAGCAAATCCTCGCCGGCGCCCATCTGTTGTAGGGCTTTTCCGACACGGCCACCGCCTACGATGATTGAGGGTATTACTTTTGTGGCGGTGGTGGCAGCCATTGAGGTTGTTGGTGCTCTTGATGTCGATGATGGGTAAGATTGGAGTTTGGATTTGAGATTAAGAAGTGAATTAGGTTTAGTGGAGTGGGAGTGGTACCAAAGAGAAGAGATTGTAGTGGTGGTTGTTAAGTTAGCCATTGTCGTTGATGATGCGAGGGTGAGGGTGCAGTGGGTGCCATGGATGGGGTTTGTTTCGTGTGTATTTCTTTGTTGAGACGAGGCAGAGAGAGCCACTCGTTTGTAGGATGGCATATCCGGTTCCGGTTGGCCCACAATCCATTTCATGACAATTTCGATTTTCGGGTCCTGGGGTAACTTAACTCACTAGGGATAGTGTAAAACTTTTTTGAGCCTAATATTATCAAGTTATTTACTAAAGTCTAAAATGACCATGAGAATTTTTGTTTATGTATTCTTAGATATATTTTTCTTTGACATAAAGCAGTATCACTTTCAATATTCGTGAGGAATATTGATCCTTCGCAAAAAATGTTTGAAAGATGCTAACATTACAAAAACCCATATAAAAAGAGCCACTAAGGAATCACAAGTCACATTTTTTAATATTTTGTTTATTACCGATGCACCGTCTTACAATTCACCAAGGATTTAAGATTGTTACTTACTCTATTTAAAGGTCGGGATTTTACCAAATTAGTGACTTATATGATCTTTGCAATATGATTATCGGCATTCTTTGATCCCTTATATTAGCGAGGATGGTGATTATTTATTTATTTATTTGGTAAAAGATGAAAAATAGGTCAAGGTGATATACGTAACAACATGGGGTCTTTTTAGTGAATAACTCCGTGTTATAATAATTACAGCCTAATGGTAATAATTTATTAATAACCACGTGCTAGATGTGTGAACAATTCCATTTATCCAATTTGGGCCCTACAATGAGATTGGATTTCATAGGATTAGCCTGATTCGGACATTTGGTTACTACTAGTTTTCCGATTTTTAGAGAGAACCAACCCAACAACCGGTAAATATTAGTTAAAAATGGTCAAGAGTCAAGACCAATCCTAATATATATATATATATATATATATATATATATATATATATATATAAACACACACACTAGGAAACTTATACGGGCCGGCGCTAAAGAACTCATCGGTAAGCTAGTTTTACATAGATTTTAAATGATAAATCTAATGTGAAAGGCTATAAGAAGTCCCAAATTTAATGTGTGGTAAATATTGTCAAGAATTTGTTGGGATCATTGTTAAAACAGATTTAGAAATCTAAGAAAAATGTCTCATGTGTCCCAAATAGCAAGAATGACTCATTTTTATGCAACAACGGAACATGATCATGTTTTTTTTATATGAAGCAAAGTTTCTTTTGCCTTCTAGAAGCAACCATGTGGTCAAATACATGACTCCTGCAAAAAAATTAAAAATAGTTAATAAAATTGGCAAAAAATTAAGCATAGTCCAAAAACTTAAAAAGACTATAATGAATAAATGCTATCAACTTAAAATGGTCATAGTAATTATCAACGTCAATTGTTTTTGGTTCACAAGATTCCTTTGTTCTATCACCAAAGGGTATGTTGTACAATCAGTTTATTTAAAATACTTTCTATTGGTCATCAAAGTTGCAAGCTTTAAGAAAAGGGAATAACTATTGAACATCAAAGTTACAAACTTTTAAGAAAAGCGGATAACTATTAAGCTCTAATCTTAAAGCTCTATTATTACTTAAGATGGTTAAATTTACATCAACGCAAAAAAAACATTTCAACATTTTCCAATTTATGCAACAAAGTTTTCTTTATACAAACGTTTGACAAGCCTCTGTTGATAAAAGAAAAATGAAGGTAAATGAGATCAAGAGCCAGTGTTATCCCCATTAAAAAGAATGGTAATTGCAATACTGGTCAAAGAAATGAAAGTATTGTGCTATAATAAACATATCATGGAAGCTATATCTGCTGTTTGGTGAATGAAAATCATATGCAAAAGATGACTCCCTTTGGATATAATCAAACCGTCTATACTTCCATGAAGATGCTTTGCAATAAAGACACAAGAAAAAAATAAATGAGAGAGTATCTTCTTGATTTCAATGATTAGCCTAATATAAATTCATATAGACTACAATATTACATGTTTAATCAATTAGAAAACAAGAAAGGTAGATAATAACAAAGTGACATAAGAGTGACCAGGCAAGTCAACCTTAGTATTGAATCCATTTGTGACATGGTTAATCGCAATCCAAGTGACTGACCAAACCACTCTACAAAAAAAAATCCATAAAATAAAATTTTTAAACCAAAATAAACATCGCCAACAGTCAACAGACATGAAAATGAAAACCATATATAATATACTGCTACTTATCATAACCCGTATCATACATTGTAGAGAGAAGAGATGAAGTAACAGTGAGCATCAGACTAAAAATATTTAAAAAAGAAAAGCTCATAACAGGAATAAATGAATCTAGTATTTAAGCCCTTTACCTAGATTGATTACAGATTAACATTCAAATAAGCAACAAATAATATAGTTGTAATTTACCTTTTTAATTGCTACATTCATGTTATAATTAGCAAATTATAGGGCTGGCTTGTATGAAAGTTGCAGGAATATGTATAGTGCCTCTCCATACATACATACATGAGTTGTCTCAAAGATTCATGGTTTTTATAGAACATTGAATTATTATCTGAAAGTTGTTGAGCCTCCTTGTAACCCTGTAAACATTCACACCACAAATAGGGTCAGTTCTAATAAAGGTATTTACAACTGTGGTTACCTTTTTCACTTATTTTCGTTTCTGTCCATAGAGAAAACACTCTTCATCTCAACAAGCTCATGTTATAAAATACATTTAACATAGATAGTGAAGGTTTTAACACATAACTCATAATCATATTAGATAAACTTTTCATCATTCTCCTGAATGCAACAAAATCTACTTTTGTAACACTTACATAAGGTGGTTATGATGGATTCCTAGCTAACTTGGTAAAATTTTCAACAAACCATTAACTAAATCCTTAATTACATATATTTTAGTTTTGTTTTCTCTATGTTGTTCAACTGTATCTCCAATACCCCCTTTCACCCTAATGTGTTGTATCTCAATGGAACATTTTTAGTTAAAAAGTAAGCGAACGTATTAACAACTCATACCATCTTTACGAGCAAGGCACACACATGAAGACGGAAACCTTGCTCCGATAATCAAATATTCTGAAACTCAGTGAAGCAAAAGATCAAACACTTGGTGTGCAATGAAAATCCAACACCATAAAAAATAAAAACAAATAAAAAGCTAAAAATTAAAAGAAGCTTGAACACAAAATTGTGTATACTTGTAAAATACAATAACCAAACCTTGAAAATCTATGAAAAAAAATCCCATAATTTATCAAGTTGCTCTCACCTATGGTCCCAAGAAACCAAAATCACATAAAAGACTAAACACACACACACAAACAAAATAAAAATAAATAAAAAAACAGAAGTTTCACTGACAGAAAGCGTTGTCACTAATAAAAAAAGGAAGTAAGCACTTGGGGATGATGATGAATAGTTAGTGATGGTGGATGTATTTTCAACATATTATTTACCTTGAGAGCCAGCATTAACATGGAAAACAGGAATCACTCTGATAACGTGTTGCAAAGACGTTGCGACATCATTAGGCCAGTCAAAATAATAAATCGCATCAATGAATTTCAAATATCCGTTTTTAGTTTTCAAAAGTAAAACTTAATTGTTTTGGTAGAAAAAGAAATTTGGATGTACAGGAGAAGGGGAGAACCTGAATCAATGAATCTGATATGAGGTTTCTTCTTCTTCTTCTCAACCATCGATGACCAGGAGAAAATGATGAGGGTGAACGACACCTTCAATTTATAACATATGATTAATTTGTCTACAAATTGTTCATCCATAGAAGCTATTTTAGACACCCTATTCATGTTAGCGCTACCTTGGAGCAAAAAGGGAAGATAAGAAGAACAAGTCGAAGATGGAATAAAGCTCGGACCCTAAATTTAAAACCCAACGAAACCTAGAACAAAACAACCTGTAATAGCGGTGTATTGTATTGATTGGTCTTAATTTTAAATGATTGTTTTTGCTACAAATCAACAACAAAAGTAGAACCTATAAACTGGACCATAACAGGGTACTCATCAGTAGGTGAAACATGGATGTCCACCGGCAACGTCAACTGCCCAAGGGGACAAATTTCCCATCTTGAAAAACCAATTTCGGTTAGGTTATGTGGTGATGCTTTAAATCAATGCTTATACAGAGATTCTAGAGAGAGAAAAAAAATACAAAGAGAAGAGAGAATCAATTATTTGAAAATGAGAAAAAGGAAAAGACAATAGAGGATCAATTATATAAAGCTTTAAATTTCAGTCGGTGTAGAATACAGAGAATAACGTGTCATGAGAAAGAGATGCCGAAGAAGGTGACTCAGCCGCCAATCATAACAACTGGCAAGCCTATAAGCATCTCTAAGGCTACAAGCAAAACCGACACTGAAGTCTCTTGCTGCGTGAGGTCAAGATGACGGTAGGGGTGAAGCAGGCAGCCACCAAGCTTACCAGTATATGACGTCAAGGAAACTTACCACCGTATAAGTTCAAACTGGTCGCCAAAGCCTTCTTGTTGAGGGAGGGAAGAAGCTTGTCGACGTGGACATAAGCAAAAATCTTCAATATATATATATATATATATATATATATATATATATATATATATATATACACACACTAGTGACGTTTTAAGGGTCGTGCTCAGCACGACCCCCGAAGGGTAATTTTGGTATTTATTACCAAAAATTAAAATTAATTGTTATAAGAAGGGAAACATGAAATGAAATTATGAGATTATAGCTGTGATGATTTAGAAAGTATAATGTTTCAGTACAAAGAAATGAAAGCAGATGCTCAAGTACACAAATAAAAGGATGTACATTGTTTTTTCTTACATTTTAGCTAAATTCTTTAGGGTATTTTATCAAGTAGGACAACATGACTTCTTGAGAGCTCATGGTACAAATTAATACAGTTCTTGAATTAACTCCTCAAAATGTTGGTAATATGTGGGTTAGCTTAGATTCTTTGAGTGGTATGTGTCCACCACTTCAGTTTCTATATTCAAAAAAAGAAAAACATAAATGGTTAAAGTAAAAGATAAAAAAAACCAAATATGGCAAAAATGAGGTAAAATAATTAAAAGAAGAAAAGTCAGCAAAACTCATCTTTCCAATTATAACGTGAAACTCTAAATATATTACCAAGAAGTGCAATAACAAAATGTTTATGCAATCTGTTTTCAAATAATAGATTTCATAATAAGACTTTTGAAAATAATACA